ACTTTTCAGAATGGTACAATGGTTCAAATGGTTAGTCCAAAAGTTAGTCAAAAACACTGAAGCAAGGTTGTTTTTTTTTTTTTTTTTTGCTCAGGCAAATTGATGGATTTAAAATATTATCTGTTCCAGACTAAAGACAATGTTAAAAAAGTTATTCTTTGCTGTAAGATGAATGGTTAGCGAGTCGACCTCAAAATGCAGAGGTCATGGGTTCGATCCCGGCTCTGGCCTTGCTGTGAGGAGTTTGCATGTTCTCCCCGTGCCTAAGTGGGTTTTCTCCGGGTACTCCGGTTTCCTCCCACATTCCAAAAAGGTGCATGGCAGGTTAATGGAACACTCTAAATTGTCCCTAGGTTTGAGTGTCAGCGCGAATAATTGTTTGTCTGTGTGTGCCCTGTGATTGGCTGTCTACCGGTTCAGGGTGTCCCCCGCCTCCTGCCCGAAGACAGCTGGGATAGGCTCCACCATGTCCCACGACCCTTGTGAGGATAAGCGGTTTCAGAAAATGGAGAGAGAGAGAGAGAGAGGTGTTACAGTCTCTTTATATTCCCCCATTGAGTTTTTTTTCCTGTCAGTGGTCCTATGCCATCTAGTGGTTATGAGCAGGAACCAATTGTTACCTAAAAGGGTTCTGCCCGACACTAATTGACATGTGCATTCGCCAACACACACTCAAACAGACAACTACTTTGTGAGCTCTGCGCAGCCATTATGAAACGAAGATAATACCAAAAAATGAGAAAACTACTAACTAAACGAAGGAAGAAGGAGACAAGCAAGACTTCTAAGGATATTTAGTCCCTTGTGGATGTGAGCCCAGGAGGTTTGTGTGCCAAGGAAAAAAACGTGTTTTTATGGACTTCGTGGCATGCTTCATGCTACATCCAGAGCATCTACATATAAATAAAGCTGTCTTGTATTGTATTGTATTCCCTTTAGCGTAGCTCCATCCAGTGGATGCATAGCTCAACCGCAGCCACTATTGTAGCTACTTTTCAATGCACCTTATCATGCAGCGCACCCTATAAATGAAAAAAGTTTTAAAATAGGCCATTCATTGAAGGTGATTCATTGAAGAGTCTTTAAGTGCAGAAAATATGGTAGATATTTACTGTATACCAAATAATGCAATGCTAATGTATAAGAATTCTGCTCATTTTACGCATAATGAATTCCATTTGGCATTTGACACAAAATGTCATGTCAAATTTTCTGAATTTTACACCTTCATTCACGAAATGCCATCACCTGTGTATTTAATGTCATTATTGTCCCTGTCTGTCACATCATTACAGAAAATACCTAGGTTCAGAATATTGTAATTGTTGAGTAGGTGCTTTCCACTGACTTATTTGCAAAACATAACTATCCACTCCATAGCTATAATTAAATCTAGTTAACATAAAAAGGATCTGTTCTTGCAGTTGAGTGATCTCAGGGAGCTATAGATTGACCACATTGTCTACGTCAGGCTGCTTGACAATTGTTTACGATGCAAATGATTTAAAAAAAAAAAAGCCGCCCAAGCTTTTTATGTGATGATTATCAAGCAAAAGAAACAGGATCAAAGTTGTTTATTGCCAGTGTTGCTGTTGGCATGACCAAAATTACTCCTGGCGTGGGAGACAGGAATGTGTTCCCTTACATTGCAAATGATATTGTGCATTGCTGAGCAAATATGCATTTTGCACACACAACTGTCAATAATGTATTTCTCACACTGTGTGCATAGATATGTGTGTCATGCCTCCACATCACCATGACAACTAACTACCCGAGGAGTGTTTGACCAGTGATTGTGTTTGTGTGGGTTTCACAGAAGCATGCGTGTGTGTGTGTGTGTGTGTGTGTGTGTGTGTGTGTGTGTGTGTGTGTGTGCGTGCACGTGCGTGTGTGTGTCTGTGTGTGTAGAGTGTGTGTGTGTCTGCGCGTGCGTGTGTGTGTGTGTGTGTGTGTGTGTGCGTGTGTGTGTGTGTGTGTGTGTACAGACAACTCGCCATTCATGTCCATCTCACAATAGTATTGACTATCTTATGTTTCGTGCAAAATATAAAATAATAATTGACATTTACTGTCAGTTTACTGTAAGGCATCTGTGTTCAATAAATTAAATAAAGATATAGAAATAATTTAATTCAACGTGTGAATTAACTCCATGAAGCAGATTTTTAGTGCTTTCGAGATAAGCCTCTGATAAAGCCTCAAATAAACACTTAAGTATCTCACGCAGATTATTTGTCTGCACAATAGAAATGTGTAAAGAAATGACTAAAATAATGTTGAAACAATATTGATTACTTTCAATTGTAATTCAAATACCAATGACACACAACCTTTAAGTCTTCAAATTTAAGTTCCACGCAAATTGAATTTAACATGACAAAGAGCGACCTAAATTAAGGAAATTGTTTCTGACATATCATGCTATTTCCATCTGTATTTCTGATCAGTTTCTCCAACAGTACAGACAATGGAGTCGCATCTGATAAAACTTGTAGCTTTAATCACGAGCTATTTAAAGTACAAACCATAATCACAATGTTGTGTGAAATGTAAACAAAACAGAAAAAAATTATTTGCCATCCTTTTCAAACTGCATTACAGTACATTGAATACATTACATAGATGAGACATAAAAAAAACAATAACATTCATCATTTTGAACATAAAATATCTTGTCTCTATAGTGTATTCACTGACTATTGGTCGAAAAGGATTTGCAAATGATTGCATTCTGTTTTTATTTACACATTACACAAACTCCCAACTTCATTGGAAATGGGTTTGGAGAATTCATTAGTTGCTCGATCGGGAGTGATAGAATAAAATGTGCTATTCGACCAAGGGTGGGGAACTTCAGTCCACGAGGGCCACAAGCCTGCATGTTTTAGCTGTTTCCCTCCTCCCGCACCCCTGATTTAAACGATCAGGATCATTTACAGGCTTTTATATATATATATATATATATATATATATATGCAAAACAATAGATCCCTTTCACACACACACACACACACACGCGCGCGCGCGCGCGCGCGCACACACACACACACACACACACACACACACACACACGTATATATGCATAATGATTAAAAGCAGTGTACCAGCATGATGTCTGCACAGTTTACCAAGTAAATGGGTGTACGTAAACCTTTCATTTTACACAGCTGGAAACATTATTTTTGGCAGTGCTGTTGAAGTGAGGAGCATTCCTAAGATATAATTCTTAGATTTGTATTTCAAAAACTACAATAATATTTGTATACTGTACTGTCATGCCTTAAAATTCAATCAAGCTTCTTCATTTAATTGTTGTGTGTGGGGTTTTTTTTCCAATCAAAAAATAAATTGCAGTTTTTGTTAGACGTTCATCATGTTCAAATCTATCTACATATGAGTCATAACTTCCTCAAATAAAGGTCTCGCCTCCAGCTGTGGAAAAGATTTGAATTCAGCAAGTCTCAGTGCTGCACTGCGGAAATTCAAACAGCAGAGGGTAAAAGGTCATGCATAATGTTCTCTCTCAGTAACAACTCAAGGCTGTGAGGATTACCGAGTCAGTTCCTCTGGTACTTCTCTTCTTCCATTCGAGATGTTTTGAAAAAACTGTACAGTTGTAGACTGAGTTGATGTCTGATGAGTCCAGGTAACTGTTCGTGAGAAAGCCAAATATGTCAACATGGTGAATCTCGGGTCTGAACTCAGGTCCCCATCCCATAATCAGAATATCAAGAATACATTGCACTACAAATAGCACAATTAATAAGTTTAATAAGAAATGCATAAATAGGTAAAAGAGTTGAAAATAAATTGAAGATAATAAATAAATCACTTAGGATAGCTCCGTACAATGCATGCCGAAGGTGGAAGGACATTTTGGATTGCCCGAAGGCTAGGCTTTTAAAGTTGATTGATAAGGCTGATTGACGTTTGCATCAAAGAAAATATTTCTTTGGTTTCATTCCATTGTACAATATTGCATTGTATTGTATCGTAATTGTAAATAAATTAATTAATAAAGCTCTTGTGATTCTAAGTTCGTGATAATACAGTCATACCTCGGTTTTTGACCATAATCCATTCCAGAAGGCTGTTCGAAAAGCGATTTGTTCGCAATCCGAAACTATTTTATTAGCCCATGATTAGAGGCTAATACACTATGCAGAAATAACATAAAAACAGACAGATTTGCGTAAATCACAACAAACACGTCTGCTCACAATGAACGCTACGCGAGGTGCAAGGAAGCCGAGAGGAGTCAAGTGGCATTTTCAGGTTTGCTCAGTTTGGTCGAAAATCGGTTTTCTTGAGTTTTCTGGTCGAAAACTGATTTGGTTGACAACAGAGATGTTCGAAAACCGAGATTTGACTTTATTAAAAACATTGACCTTTCTACATCATGGTAAAATGACAATGTATGTCATTTGCTAAAAATAATTTGCCTCTTGCGATGATATTTGAGGGTTGCATTGAGTGGCAGGAAGTGGTTAATGTTGATTAGGACTGAAGGTCAATTTGAGGAAAGAGACTAAAGTGTGAGATGCATTTGGCAAGAGCTTCAATTTCTTCTAATTCCAACTAAATTCCTGTTTAGAAGGCCAAACGGCCATGACTAATCCATGTTTTAAGTTGTTGAGATACAACCTACCTAATGTTGTACATTGTGTAATTGTTCATTGTCATAGTTTTTCAAACAAAAATGGTGTGCATCCGTGTTGGACGTGTGGACTATAAAGGCTGTTGAAAATTGATCTACTCGTCAAGTCTTTCTAAACTAGGAGGAAAACCTTTAGGAGCAGTTTCACTGACTAATTCACGGGTTTCACCTATGGCGGGTTCTTTTTGGAACGTCACCCCCGCGATAAACGAGGGTTCACTGTACTGATATTTGGCATGACTAACAGACTTAGCTTTGTTCTGCAAAAATTTACTGCTATTATTTTCCAAAATATTGTCTTGAAACTAACACTTTTTTTTTGCTTTGTGTTCTCTGACAGATGCAAATCTACATGTACAACTCTGATGACTTCGACAGCCTCAGTACTGCACTTAGGGAGAAGAGAATCATAGCAGCTATGGCAATTTTCCTTCAGGTTAGAGTTCTTTTTGTTCCCCTTGATCGTTATTATTCCACATGGTAAATGTGTGCTTGAGTGTGAAAACTGTCAGATACATCATTTCTCATCAAACGCACACAGTTCTGTCTTGATTATCTCTGCTTAATAAAAGAGGTGCTTGAGCCTTGTAGACTCAATTTCCAAGGGAGGTTTACAATGTTGTTTGACAGCAAACAATGATATCTCATTGAGTTGTTCCATGTGAAGGGGATGTCATTAATATTTGTTATTTGTAGGCTTGTGAAGCCCTTTGAAACTTTTCAGTGATTAAGGGCTAAATAAATAAATTTGGCTTGACTTTGACTTGAATGTGACATAGTCTTATGTGGGTATTTTCATGAAGAAGAGAAAAGATAAACAGTGCACATAATTCCTTATTTTTTACTTGGTCTGCACTATTTAATTCATTTTGAGAAATCTGGGGGGGGGGCGGACAGAAGGCACAATGAGAGTGTTAGCTTCGCCTTTTTGTCATGTGTTCCGATAGTCTCTTTGTCCTTGCTCTTCTTATAATTTAACCTCCTGCATGTGAAATATATTTTGTTTTTTTTTTTGGTTTTTTTCCATACACAGTTAATGACAAGTGGTTTTCTTATATGCTTGAAAATTACTGCATGGATGCTGATCAGAGCTACGTTGCTGTTAGCATGATTGCATTTCATCAGTTCTTATGAGAAATAGTATTTGGTGTGATGTAGGACTGTGTCATTGACCTTTCTCATTTTAAGCTGTCATCTTGTTATATGTTAATGCTTATGCTAAAAAAAAAAAAATAATATGCCCCTTTTAAAAGATAATTTCAAGTCGTTTCCATGCTGGTTGAGTGATTGCCGGAGAGGTTATTGTCACCCTCACTTGTGATGAAGTTCATTTAAGATTATCAATTCCCTAAGTAGGTTTTTACTTGGTCCATTAACCAGCTTTTAATACTTTCTGGGACTGCAAAGCTCTCTAGAATTTGTGCAGTTAAACATGCTTCATGCCTTTTGATCTGATTTTACTTTGACACTTTTACTTTATGTACCATATTTTCCGTAGTATGAGGCGCTCCGGAGTATAAGACGCGCCTTAAATGAATAGCCTATTTTCAAACTGTTTTCATATATAGGGCACACCGTATTATAAGGCACATAGAATAGAAGCTAGAATCGTGACTGCGGTTGTGCCATGCATCCACTAGATAGAGCTACACTGAAGGGAATGCAATATAATACAGATTTATTTATATATCACTTTGACAACCGCTGCAGCTGTAACTAAGTGCTTTAGAGAACATTAAAAATACCACATCCAAGAAATCAGAATATTGATCCTTATATAAGGGAAATTGGATTATAAGCTATAATTTGAGAAAATTGAATACTTTTAGGTGTGCCTCATAGTGTGAAAAATATGGTACTCTCTCTTAACTCGATTTTTGTTTTTCCTCCTACAAAGTTCCTTCTTGCTCCTTGTGTGCTGATTCATTCCTAAACTGCCGTGTGTATATGTCTCAATGCATCAGTGTATTTTCACAGTGTCCCGATTTACCTCAGTTTGGCGAGTTAGTTACAGCCATCTTACCGGATAAATTGGCCCCATCAGCTTGGCTGAGCACAGGAATCACACATTTATGACCGAGCATGAGACCACACTGCTTTCCCTGTTTGGAAAAAATAGCAATGGTAAACAGCTATATTTGCTTTTTTATTTGCTCATTTACATGACTGCTTGTGCTGTTTGTCACTCGTTGCTTGCCTCCACCAGCAGCAATGTTATCTTGTGAGATATTCATTTAATAATTATCCTTATACAAAATTATTTATCACATCCACCCCATTTGAATCTAAAAAGAGAGATGATCTTGGTCTTGAGGAACCGTTGTTTTTGAGAAATGTAGAGGGGCTATAGAAACAGATGTAGAGGAAGAAAATGAAGCAATAAGCATGTTTTATTTTGGTGTATATCACCACTGATTGATTTCATGACTTGTCTGACAGCTCTGTCTGCTTCATTTCTATTCATATTTGACACAGTACATGCTATTTTATTTGAGTTCCAACTGCTCCAATAAGGAACCATTAAAATGTTTAACATATTGACTACAATAGAACATATTATTTATTGGGAGTACATACACAGGGTGTCCCAAAAGTCACTTTACATTTCATTTCAGCTATTATTCAGAAAGACATGAGGCCATCAGCATTTGACAGTTCAGGATTTGCAGGTTTTTGCAAGCATATCATTTTATTGTCCACAGCTTGGCAATTTGACATTGAAGCAGCATTGCGAATTTGTCACCCGGAAAAAAGTTTTTTCTGTACCCGATTGTTTTTTGCCACTAGATTGAGCTTTATGGCCATCACACTGCTCCAGTACATTTTACTCTGTCAATGGCGGATTTCTCAAAAACATTATCGACTCTGAATAGAAGGCCTGATTGAACCGCCAGTGATAAAAACACAAAATTTCTAGAGCAGATGTTAATGCAAAGCTAGGAAAAGGAGGGCAGCACTGGAAATCAACAAAATCTCAGATTCAGTGGCACGTTCGGAGAGAGAGGGAAAGCTTTACCCTTTCTGGCGGCATGGCTAAATCTTTATTTTCCTTGGCGTGAATGCCTGCACGAAGAGTTTGGTGTTTTCATCAATGGTGTTAGAAGCAGGCCTTCTGCTGCATGGTTTTTTAAGGAACAGATGCTGTTACGAGAATTTTCCTTGGATAGTGTAAATTTTACTCTGCGTTGGAGCAGTGTGACAGCCAAAAAGCTTAACGTAATTTTATATAATCATTAAAAGGTTTTCTTTTTCACCTCGTCTGATAATCTCTCTGCCGCTACCTACCAGTGAAAGGCAGCGGGGAGAGGATCCACTTGATGGCTCCGTGTCTGAGCATTGGTTATCAGAATCGGACGAATCCATTACCATTTTTCATAAAGAAGCAGTAGTTCTTTTCATGTTGTCGTCTGTTGTCGGGTTAGAAACCGAACCAAATAATATTTTGGGATGCCAGAAATGCTGGCTCAGACAAACTGCAATACCAAAATGATTGACACAAGTCCAAACAGAAATCGCCGGTCACAAGAATGCAGGAAGAACAAGGCATGAACAAAAAGTGCTTGCAAAAGAAAAGGCAAGGTAAAGTAACACCAAGAATACAAACAGAATGACAAGAGTCCAATGTACACAAAAAACAAGACTAAGATCAAAAAGCCTAAATAACGCCAATACTTACAAAGAGAGCATATCGACAATGCCCGAGATCAAGAGGTTTAGAAACACTTCAGCATGAACGGTAAGCAAAATAGACAATTTATCAGTCCTTAAATACAGGGCAAGGCCTGCTGGAAGGAACCGCCCTTCACTCCAACTGGAGTTGGAAGAAAAACAGACATGACATCTGTGGCTATAGCGGTGCGGCCTAAAGCATGATTGGAAAGGATCAAAAGCATGATTAGGCAGTAAAATGTCCGTAAGCTGTTTGTCTACAACTTCTAGGAGTTTGCTTATGAATGGGCTGGTAATTTTTAGTACTGGGGCTTCAAGACTGCCCATCTTGAGAAAAATGACAGCAGCGTTTAATTAAGCCCTTTGAAACTGTTCCAGTCTGAAGCAACATCGTGACTTGACTTTAGTTGTACAAACAAATTGCTCAGCACACACTTTAGAAATGTTGTAACTCTTCTCAGGCAGCGTTGAAATCCACCTGTCAAAAGTAATTTGTATTATGGACATTTTTATGAAATTTATATTTTTTAACAAATACAAGGTTTAACACTGCCTAAATAATGCCCAACCTGTCTAAACTGGTTCTTTCTGGTAGCATGGTGAATGAAAAGGATTTGGGAGCATTATAAAAGAAGAGGTAATGCTGTATGAGGTCACAAAAGGCAACCCAGAAGTTATGCCGCACAATTTGGCAACCCAAACTGAAGAGTAGTGCAAGTGTTTATCCAATGAATGAGTTTGAATTGCAGTTTTGCGTGATAACAGCAAATCCAAATCCAGCCGTTGTTTGGCTGCCAAGTCCATACTCCTTTCATGAATGAGTTTTATTACTAATCAGCAAGGCCTCGTTTTATCACACAAAATGTCAAAATTGCTTTCTGTCTTGCATACACTTACTGAATGTGGAATTATCCCATCGAAACAAAAGTATAGATTGTTGACCCAAGGCACACTCTTTCCTAAGTGTTAGCTCATAAATAAATCTAACTATCGTCAGAATTTATTTTCAAATGTATTCTTGTCTTGTCTATAATATCTTGACTATGTCTGTCATACTGATCACTGATTTAATGAGTAACTTAAAGCATCTTCTTTGAAATAAGTACAACCTTCACATTTCATGAACTGGTTGATGTTTCAGCAGTTAGCGCTATTCAATAGAAGGAGACATGTCTCGAAGGCATGCAGAATTCAGAGGGTACTGCACTTTGAAAATAAGCATTGGATGGATGATAGTGGGAGGGGAAAACGTGGATGATAGCAAAAAAAAAGTGGTAGAATGACAGAAATATGAGGACATGTCACATTGTACCATCATCTTTATATATTTTCTCCGATGTTTGTTCTCACTCTAGTGGCTTGTCCCTGGAGAGAGAGGAAAACTGAGCTGTGGGGAAGAATGAACAGAGACAGTGAGAAAGCGGGGATGTGAAGAGAAAGAAGGAGTGGTTATTGAAAGAGTAGGACAATGTGTTATGAGGCCTCATGGCGGAGGATCTCCGGGGACGAGCCTGTGGGCTTTCAGAGATAAACATTAATAATAAAAAACTAATTCCCATTGTCCTCCTTTCTTTCCGTTCTCCTCATTGTCCCGCAGCCTGTCATGTTTTTACTTCTCTTCTACTAGACTAAAGTTATACCACATAATATCCTTTCCTAATCACACCACATCGTTCTTTCCCCTTTTTCTTGACCAAAAAAGTATGCTACGTGACATATTTTGATGTGTGTGTGTGTGTGTGTGTGTGTGTGTGTGTGTGTGTGTGT